CCCGCGCCATCAGGCACGCCCCGCGCCTTCCCCGTGCGCCCTCAAGTACCCCCCGCGCCCCGCATTCCCCTCTAGCCCCATGGGTTCGAATACCCCTAGTATTACTACTTAGGGACATTGTTTTAATAACTGTTATTTATAAATGTTGTATAATTATTAATTATTTTACAAATATATCATTCTTACAGAGAAATAGTCGGCTATATAGACAAGATAGAATCACACTTTATTGGTAGAAAAAAATGAATAAATTATTAAAATTTCACTTAAATAATGGCAATGTTTAACATATGTATTTTATTACAAAATGTAATGTGTGTGTGTGTGTGTGTGTGTGTATGTTATTATATTCATTAATTTCACATTGCAGGGTTTATGGTAGCGTGTTCGTTTGATAAAATTTATTAAATTCTCTATAAATTAATTGGTCCTGAAAAGGACCGTTTTTATGTTTACAATTTATGTGGCCCTGAAAAGGGCCGTTTGTGGTAAAAACTATATTAATCTTTCTCTGTAAAAGATTGTCGGTTTGATCTGAGTAAATCCCTTCGGTCCCCAAAGTCTTCTTCGTGTTAAGTCGAGAGAGTAGAATCCAGGAGGTGAGTCTGGTGGTGTGTAGCTTGTTGGTGATCCTGGTGGTGTGGATGTTTCCTTCTGTGATGTGAAGTCGCTCTGCGTTTCTCGGTGGACTACCGTAGGTCGGCTCAGCGTTCCTTGGTGAACTCTCGGAACAGGCTGGGTCTGCGTTGTCTTCGTAGAGAAGTCACTCGGAGATCTAGGTAGCGGAGACAGGAGCGGCGGCGGTGCTGAATAGCTGGGAGACAGAGGTCTTCTAACCCTCGGGTCGTTACTGGCTAGGAGGAAGCTCGGAGGTCTTGTGAGAACCGGCGAAGAGATCTCCACCTTAAGTAGTCGCCAGATCACTGGAGGGGATGTTGATTTGCCCTGTTGCTTAGTTGCCGTTGGATTACTCGGTGTAACCTCTTGAATCTGTGACGGCTCGCTAGATCTCGCTGAGGAAGATTTCTTCCACCAGGGAATAATCCGTGATTGACGAGAGGCAGGCTCCACGGTTACACCACAAAAAGGTTATTGCTCTTGCGGTATGTTGCAAGAGACGAAATCAAGCCGTTGGCCATGCCTTTATATAGCCGTTCAGAGTTTTTCAGAATACGAGAAGATCTGCCGAAATGCGCCTTCTATTAATTTCTTGAGAAATTAATTTTTTCCGAATGACTTCAAGTAGGTCTTGGAAACAAATGCATCCGCATGAAGTTTGCTTCGTTCGAGTTGTTCGAAATATGTATGTGGTGTCGAATAGACCGCCACAACAATAATAGTTTTATAATTTTATATACTTTTTGTCATTGAAATAAATTATATCATTGTATGACATATTTTAGTAATTTATACATCGTGAAGATTCTTATTTTCAGTTATACATGGATACATTAAAACAAATTTAAATGTTCACTCAAAGCGTTCCAAAAATATTGGTAATGGCTCGATTACAGACGGTATACACAAACTGGCTGCACGAATAACAAATTATATGAACACGAAGTCTTTGTGGAAAAAGGCCAATATGTTGAAATAAAAGGATGTGTTTGTAACGTCCGGTGCGCTACACTATAGCACTCCGGCCATTTACCAAGCGAACGCGAGCGCACAGTATAGCAAATGATA